AAACGTACAAAAATATTACTAATTTTGACATACAAACATTTTTGAATTTGTGCGAAACTTGTCTTCGAAAAAGAAACCTACTGTGAAACTATTGCCTTAACTTGAAATAAAGGACTAGTAACCAAGCTGGTGATTCTAGTTTCATGGGTTTTGAGGTGGATTGGGTATTAACTTAGTACCATCCTAAATTAAGCAAGAAGATTATATTTAGACAGAATTAAGAAACTGTTACACTATAACCAAATGTTAATGAAAAAATTTTCGCGAACTGTAAAAAGACTTTTTTTCAAAATTTTTGAAGATAAATTATTCATATCGGTCTCTAAGGTAAATTTTTTGTTAGATATATTTTTATTTAGAGAAAAATATATTCTTTACACTGCCTACGTCATTCTTGTTTAGTCTGTCGATAAATAATAGTCAATTGACAGATGTCGTAAGAAGAAGAAAAAAAAGATTACTTATTGAAGAATGCCATGGAATAGAAGATATACGGCTTGATGGGAAACATGCGGACTTCACCATATTTAATACGTGGTTTTCGGTGTATAAGCTTAGCTTACCATATTGTAAAGCTGCATCTGTTTTGAACGTATTTTCCAAGTCAGTATACGTAGTTAATACTTACTCATTTGTACACAGTATGTGTTTGGAATCTGACTAATTTTTTGATCACGACTTCAACCAGAATCATCGACCAGGTTCCTCAATTATTACAATCTGTTTGACTGTCAAAATACTCATGTGATTCCAGATGCTAGAAAGAACCTCTGGAAAGAACAGTTTTCCTCGGCATTTGAACTTTGGGGATCAAGTCACACTCTAAGGAAAAAGCAAGGACACGCACACTCAGTAAGACGTCGTTGTAGTGGCTGTTCCACTATGAAGTTGAAAGGCGATATACCAAAGAGTAAAGTGCCAAAAGTGACGACATATTGTGATACCTGCGAAGGAAATCCACATTTTTGTTCTGAATGCTATACTTTGTACCATGGAGTATTTGTTTAAGATAATATTTAGCCACCAGAAGCCATTTTGTCACCACTATTATTAGCAATTTCTTAACTTGCAGACCGTTCTTTGTGTCAAAAGCTTAGATGTACTTAAAAATGCTGAATCATTTTTTCGTACAAAAAGTCTTGCAAATAATTTTCGCCAAAATAACGTCGATATTTTGACATCTATCTATATCGAGTGTCAAATTTGAAATACCAGACATAACTATAATATTCCTCACCTCACCTTAATAAATCAAATTATTAAAATGTTTCTGTTTTAGAGCGTTTTCAATGTGACAAATGCCGCAAAACCTATACACAAAAATCGCATCTGAATAGTCACACACGATATGAATGTGGGCAGCTGCCGTCATTTCATTGCTTACATTGTGGTAGACCATTTCATCAGAAGTCTAATTATAAGGCTCACTTGAGGGTTGTTCATCATCATTATGATACTACAAATTTATAAGTAAAATGATATATCTGGATTCGAGACTACGGGTAATTGAAATAAAGTCACTATTTGCACCAAAAGAACCGACGCCCTTATCACGTAACTGGGATAGCGATGATCACCCTACTTCTCGTTCACTTGCAGTGTTACCTAAATGTTAAGATACTTCAGCTATGTGTTGTAGATCTGATGTGATGTGACATTTACTTTAGAGAATGCACTAGCGGAGGCCATTCATAGCTTCTATGGCCTAAGCTGTAAGTTCTATACAATTTGTAGTTTTGTCATTCCTCCAAAGGTGGCGCTGTCAGCAAGTGGCACAAGTGACATGTATAGTGATCAGATCGCTATCAGAGCGAATATACCATATTACATAATATAGTTGCGGATCATTCTATTGAAAAATGTATTTATTAGTAATATACTTTGCAAATGGAGGAAGTACTTTATTTTTAACATATATCTTCGTTTCCCCTGTTCTTGATTTAAATCTGTCAGGATTCTTCAAATAATACCATTTCCTACAAATATAGTAATATACTTACCTAATAAGGAAGCGTTGTTACCCTCATTTGGGAAATCCCTTGTCGCAGTAATAAAATATACGATGACCCCTTCGGCTACTGCTTTGCTGAGGCTACATGTCTTAAAAAAGCCATCTAGATTCCAGGAAGGTGGATGGCACCGCTTAAGAAATTTCTCCATGAGCAATTTTTACTATACAGGGTTTTTCAAATTCGACCCTCACCATTGGGCTATCGGAAACTGTAAGAGATATGAAGTCGCATATTTTGGGAATCAACAAAATGTCGTTTAGAATGTTTTGAAATTTAAAGTACTTCCGGAGTTTCGAACTTCAAAGTACTTCCGGAGAGGACGGAAAACGAATTCTCCCAAAATCGTTTTAATTTTTTCCTGACTTTATTTGTAGTGGGATTTCAAAATAAATTGTACATTAACATTGACAGATTTTTTTCCACAAGATGGCGTAAGCATTCCAATATGACGTTTCGTCTCTTGTCCTCTGGAAATAACTTCATTTTTCCTTATAGACGCCATATTAGATTTTTGCAAAGATGAATAGAGTTTTCAAGTCCAAAAAGGTATAACACGTCTTACATAGGCGTTGCCAAACTTTACTTATTTAATAAAAAGCAGAATTTCCTAGACAGGGCTTGAAATTAGATCAGATAATCATTTCTTTGGCCTACCAAATTTGCTCCAAAATGACTTTTATTTTTTCATGACACTTTGAGATGTGATTCCAAAATAAATTTCCGAGATTCTAATGGTGAGGGTCGAATTTGAAATACCCTGGATAGAGCTTCTTAGAAAAGTCCCCCCTGTTTATTCTTTGAATGGGTCAAGTTGGCAACCTGAAATTCGGCGTGATAAAATTTATGTATGTATACTATATTTTGTCTTAAAAATGGCAATTGGAAGTTTGGCGGCTAGAGACCAACTTTTTTTTTTGTACTAGGAGATTGCGTCACATTAGCCAGATCCAATCTTGTATTTCTATATCTCTAATTATGGACAAATACACGACGTCACAGCATCCATGGCGAAGGCGAGATTCGAACTCGCGGCCCGGCCGGCCGGCTGACCAGTAGCACGACACTCTGACCCACGCGGCCAACCGAGGTCCCAAGAGGCCATCTTGGAACAGTTTTTAAATGGAATAGGGGGTCATGTGACACAGACTGTTGAAGTTGAACGTTTGTACATTAGAACTCTTATAACTCAATAACTAATGATTAAAAGTTTAGTGTAACATATATTTCCTTCTTTTGAAAGGTTGTATTCGACACCCTTTTTTAAATGAATTGTTCTATATTTTATTACATATTCAGATAGATCCTTCTAAAAGAACATCGTTTAACATACTGAAGCATTTTGTGATTGTTGGGTTATGTACAAAAACACTCAACTATGATAGCTTGTCAGTTCCCCATGTTGAGAGATAGCGAATTTATATTCTGTGGTTATGAAGTACGCATAAAAAGCTTCAGAATAGGGTAACACATGATCCCTTATTCTACTGAAATGTAGTGCCAACCCGCAATCTTGAAATCTCTAACTACTATTTATATGCATGAATTTCATCATTTCGAATTTCAGCTGGTTAAATTCACCCGTCCAAAAAATATGAGATGGGGCTTCATGAGAAGCACTGACTGTACGAGGTCTGTAAATTGAGTGATGAGACTGGCAATGTAGCATTTGATCTGGAGGCGCCGAAACTCCAGTAGGCCTACATAGATAGTGTTTTGTCAAGAGCCCGGGTTTTCCGGTGGTTGAAGGCATTTTCAGAAGGGAGAGAGTCGATTGAAGATGAACCACGAAGCCGAAGGCCTTCATCCTCAAGAACCGATGAAAATATGGACAGAATCCGAGATCTTGTGTGTTCAGATCGTCGATTGATAGTAATAATAATCTGGGAATAGTTAAACTTGAGGCACACCACCACTCATCAGAGGACAAAGGCTACTTGCCACACAGCAGTGTCAATAAAGCAGTTTTTGGTTAGTAAAAACATTCCTGTGGCTCCTCAGCCTCCTTATCCGTCTGACTTGAGTCCTTGCGATTTTTTTCTCTTCCCTAAGTTGAAAAATCACCTCAATTGAAATTATTTTGGGATATTCGAAAACATTTAAATGCCTGTAACAGACCAGCTGAAAACTATTGCAGTATCGGAGTTCTAGCACTGCTATGAGGAGTGGGAGAACCGTCTCCTGTGGGGCTCCAGATGGAAGTTATTTTGAGAGTGACAATATAAAATTGTAATTATATTTGAATAAAAAATTGAAAAAAGTCAATCTCATCACCTAATTTACAGACCTCATAGATGCTTATTGAGTGGTTTCTATTTTAGGGAAACGGTTTGAATGCGGCAATTGTGGAAAATCCTACAAACACAAATTCCATCTGAATAGACATGTGCGGTATGAATGTGGGAAATTACCTTCATATCACTGTGAAAGTTGTGGTAAAAATTTTTACCATAAATATAACTACAAGGCTCACATGAAAACTGTTCATGATATTACTTTATTACATGAAATCCAATGCTGAAATAAGATGAATAAATCTTATTCGTTGGTTAGTAAACTTCAATGGCTGATTCCTTGGATGTTTTTCAACAAGAAAGTTTCATACGAACTAGATCCGGTAATTCTTCATTTATAAGCTACACAATACGTTATGCAATACTTTGAATACATACATACTTAAAATTCATCTTTTTGAATCAGAATATTTGTTTCCTTGTAGTAAATTACGAACTGGACAATGTTGTTGATTATGGTTAATGACGGACTCATCTCCCATCAAAGGATCCCAATTATTATTTCATTATAGTATGTGCATGGTTTTCAATTTTTTTTATTTTTTCCATGTAGATTGTAGATGTTTACAAAGTTTCAGCAGAATGCACGTTTTTTATTTTATCCATTTTGTCGATGGCTCTGAATAAAGATTTTACAGTCCCCATACTGAACATTTTTAGTAATTTTGTTCATTTTTTAATCCAAATTTGGTACTTTATGTTAAATTTGGTGCTGTATTTTTTAGAAAAACCTTTTGGATGCACTCGGTGTGGAAAATTCTACAAACAAAAATCGAACCTTAATAGGCATATTCGATTTGAATGCGGGAAACCACCATCTTTCCAGTGCAGCTATTGTGGCAGAAAATTTCATCAACAATGCAACTATAAAACTCATATGAGGGCCTTCCATGGCATTTTTCAAACTCCGTGGCATAAAAACTGTATATTAAAATAAAAAAGTTTCTTCGAATATTCATCATATTTGTTTATCTTCAGCAAAGTTGAATTGAATCTTGTAAATATTAGAGGACGTGGTAAATATTTGAATTTTTCCAGTAACTTCAAATTGTGAGCAGTTATTTGGTTAGCTTGAAATATTCAAGTCCATAGAAATTATTGGCTTATGGCTTAATTATACATCTGACTAACGTATTCTAGATAGCCAACCTAATGCTGTATTCCCGCGTCCAAAAAATATAGACCAGATGCCGTAGCGTGATCTACCAGAATTTGACACAGTTCTTTCTGCGTTTATTATATATGCTTTGAAGCGATTAGTGTCTCGTAGATGCGCTGTTTGTATGAGCATATATGACTATATAAGTGACCAAAACGCCATCTATGCGACAGTAAACTTTTCATAGTACATATAGTAAATAGAGAAACATCTGTGACAAATTCTCGTAAAAGATGCTACGGTTTATCATTTTTTGGGCCCAGGAATATAGCATTGCCTATACGCCATATGCATGAGCATATATTAATCAACAGTAATACATATATGCGTATTTTATCAAACATTAGTAAAGTGGAAAAATGGAGAAAAGCAAAAAAATGGAAGACTGGAGGAAGAGACGTTGGTAAAGACAAGTACCCAAGTAATTTATTTTTTAGATGTTATTTTTAGTAGTTTGTTTTGTGATAAAAGGTTTAACTAACTATGCTAAAATTGTGAAAAAGTGAGTGTCATTTATATTTCATTTTAGACAGACCGTTTGGATGCACCAGTTGTGAAAAGGCCTACAAGAGAAAATCCCACCTGACGAGGCATATGCGATACGAGTGTGGAAAACCGCCTTCGTTTCAATGTATCCATTGCGGTAAAATGTTTCACCAGCAATCAAACTATAAGACTCATCTCAAATCATGCGATGTGAATTATCATGACCATTTAATCAAACTGTATTAAATAAATCTTATTGTACACAATTATAACATAATCATATCTTCTCGTCCATATACTCGATGCTGTTCAGAGGTTGTCTGACTGATCGATGACTTTTCCTTAACGGACAGTCGCAGGACACTTTCGCACCGCCTTCGACGACCTGGCTCTCTTCTTCCGCTAGGTCAACGGGCTTTACTCCTCAGAGCTGTCCTCCATGAAGACGCCGCGCGATGGTAGATTTTCAGCTCCCATCAGAGAAGTTTGAAAATAATATTTTTTTAATACTTTTGAATATTATACATTCAACGACTGAACTTTTATGTTTCTTATTATGCTCATATTATGTTTTAGATGGAATTCTTATTTTTTTCATTTTAGCATGAGTATCGGTTGATTAAGTATTGTAATACCTGCATTTTCACTAAATAAATGTTGATCATATTTTTCAGTGAGACCATTCGTGTGCATAAGATGTGAGAAGCGTTATAAAAGGAATTCACAACTAGACCGCCATGTCAAGTATGAATGTGGGAATGAACGGACATTCTTTTGTCAATAAAGCGTTTCATCTAAAATGTAACTGAAATGTACATATGAAACAGTGTCAATTTAGAAAAGATTGCTCACATTCAACAAAAAGTAAATGGTAGCTAATATGACAGAAAATATTCTGGGAGGGGAGTCTCAAATTTTACGCTTTAGCAAATTGGTGTTTTTGAACTGCGGCATATTGTCGACTGCAAAAACTGGTACGCTTGTCACTGCTGCCACATTTTTCAGGTAATTCTGATTTTGAGAGGGGGAAAAAGGTTATTAAATGTTACGAAATGACACGCACAGTTCCAATGTGTTGTGCAAGGTCATTCGGACTGGAGACTCTTGACATACGCAATTATATTGTCACCGATCTATACTAAGTGACATATAAATCCGAATACCCAGTTTAAATGGTTTTATTTTAATAAAATTTTGTATAAGTACTTAATGAAGCATAATAAGTAAATGATAAAAATTTCAAAATGATTGCACAGCTTTAAAGCCCTTCGATCTTTAATAATGTGTGGATGCACGCTGATGTGCTACGCATTCTCCAACGTGCCTAGGCATGCTTCTGATCAGGTGGTCAATGTCCTCCTGTGGTATCTCATTCCAGGCAACCACCAACTCCTCTCGAAGTGCTTCTAGAGTCTGAGGAGGACGTTGCAAATTGAGCAATCTCCTGCCCATCATATCCCACACGTGCTCAATTGGGGATAAGTCGGGAGATCTTGGTGGCCATGGTAACAATGTGACATCATTATGTTGAAAGAAGTCTATTGTGACTCTTGCAACATGTGGTCGGGCATTATCTTGTTGGAAAGTTGGATCTGCCAGGGTGTCAAGATAGGGTAAAAGATGGGGTTCTAGAACTTCGTGGATATAACGCTGCGCGTTCATGTTACCTCTGATGAAGATTAAAGCTGACCTGGAACCATAAGCTATAGCACCCCAAACCATAACTCCAACAGTGTGATGAACATGTCTTTCAACAAAAAACTGTGGATTCCTCCTTTCACCACGTCGCCTTCTAACCCTGGCACGAGCATCGTGCGTGCCTAAACAAAATCGAGACTCGTCACTAAAGACAATACTGTTCCATTCCTGATCCCAGAGTGACCGTTGTCTGCACCACTCAAGGCGATTACGTCGGTGTAAGGGTTAGAAGGCGACGTGGTGAAAGGAGGAATCCACAGTTTTTTGTTGAAAGACATGTTCATCACACTGTTGGAGTTATGGTTTTGGGTGATATAGCTTATGGTTCCAGGTCAGCTTTAATCTTCATCAGAGGTAACATGAACGCGCAGCGTTATATCCACGAAGTTCTAGAACCCCATCTTTTACCCTATCTTGACACCCTGGCAGATCCAACTTTCCAACCAGATAATGCCCGACCACATGTTGCAAGAGTCACAATATACTTCTTTCAACATAATGATGTCACATTGTTACCATGGCCACCAAGATCTCCCGACTTATCTCCAATTGAGCACGTGTGGGATATGATGGGTAGGAGATTGCTCAATTTGCAACGTCCTCCTCAGACTCTAGAAGCACTTCGAGAGGAGTTGGTGGTTGCCTGAAATGAGATACCACAGGAGGACATTGACCACCTGATCAGAAGCATGCCTAGGCGCGTTGGAGAATGCGTAGCCACATCAGGGTGCATCCACACATTATTAAAGGTCAAAGTGCTTTAAAGCAGTGCAATCATTTTGAAATTTTTATCATTTACTTATTATGCTTCATTAAGTACTTATACAAAATTTTATTAAAATAAAACCATTTAAACTGGGTGTTCGGATTTATATGTCACTTAGTATATGTACACAAGTATCTTATATTAATGAAAGCGATTCATTTATTATCGATGAAATTGTCTACTCTGAATTTTGTGACACTAAGAAATAACATCAAATATATTTAATCAGTTCTGTCCACGTAAATTGTGATTGCTGTGTATTCGAGAAATCACAAAACTGTTTGGCTGTTGGAATAAAAACAGTCTACGTACTCTGAAATACGCGTTTGTTTGGGAAATTCTAAATACAAATAAAGAATAAATAAATCTCGCAGGGTCTATTTTGACGAGATTCTCTCGAAAACGAAATTCAAGAAATTGCTTTATGAGTATGAGAACATACCCTCTTGGTCCGCCATTTTTTGCCTAGCAGTTGATATACAGGGTGGGGCAGAAAGACCTCACCGATTTGGAAACCGTCTAGCTATGCCAATGGGGGGGATAGCGCAGTGGGGGATATATCATTCAACTTGTCTAATCCTGTCATTTTTAGTATAAATCATGGCTCGAACAGCGACAGGACCAGCAAATGGAGGAGCTGTGAGATCGTCAATTCAGCAATCTCCGAAGTGCTATGCACGTAAACATGACATGCAACTGCTTTGCGATTATCAAATCGGAGTGTTCGGAGAATCCTGCACCGGGATCTTGTATGCATTGACTTAAAATGGCATTATATATGCTTTTAAAAAAATAAAGTTTTTTTATCAAGGTATATCTCGATTAGTTCAGTTTTTATCGGCTCTCCAAATCGTGGATGTTTTTCTGCCCCACCCTGTAGATTTCAACATTATCAAATACAGTATTGAAGTCTGAATAAGGCAGCGCGAAGCGCCATCTGCCAGTCGAATCGTCCACTGCGAACAGTTAATAGCAGCCTAGTCTCCACCTACCCGCTGGCGACGAATTTATCTGTGTAGTAGATGTGGTCTACTTGCCATTGAACAATGTTAACATGCTGCTTTTGTCAGCCCGACCAAAGATAGCTGGACAGCTGTTTCGTTCGTGCTTTTTGGCTTCTCATCAGCATGGTCTAGGCTTGGTCCATCGGACAACAAACGAAAGCATAGCATCTTTACACTATCAAAAGTGTTATTAGAACTCAAACTTTTGATAGTGTTCCGTTGCTATGCTTTCGATCGTTGTCCGATAGACGAAGCCTAGACCATAATAGTGAGTATTCAAAAAGCAGGAAACAGCGGTCTATGGTTGGCGGACTTTGGCCGGACGGACGAAAGCAGCATGTTTAGCTGGTATTGAATTCGCTGAGCTATGTACATATAAAAAAACGGATAGGACCTACTAATACTTGTTCGTAACTATGTTTTAAATAGTGCTGGTTAAACAAACCGCTTTTGATTCCAGTTTTAGTCCATACATGCTATGGAAGAGGCAAGTTTGTTTATGTCCAACCAAACTTGATAAAAACATCGAATACAGGGTATTCTGAAAATTAAAATTTTCTTTTCTTTCTGTCCTGTTTTCAGTTTGTTTCAGATAAGATTTATAAACAAGTTTACACACTTTTGGGTTGAATACTGACGCGCATCGAACTTTATTATTACAAAGATCAGAAGCTTCTAAACCGCCTTGAACGTGTTTCACTCATACTGAAGGTAGCATTCACAACCCCATACACCCCACAATACTCAAACCTCAATTCTTAACTTCTACATAACTTCCTTTGAAAATGATCTGGAGCCTCTGGATCGTAAAAAATGAGATTTGAGCGCCACTAACCGATTTTCAGAAACGACTAAACTTTTCCGTCCCTGGAATAGTAGTAACCTAAAATCAAAATCAGACCGGTACTTTCCAACTTATAGCAGGGCCAAGGATTAGCGAACAAACAAGTCAGACTAATGGAAATAACTGACATGTTTTTTTCGTGATGTACACGTGTAATGTAACGCCAAAAAGCATTCTCATTTTCAAAATGTTTTGCTACCTCGGGAGTTGGCTGTGGGAAGAAATATACCGTAACAAAATATTCGTGCAGCTCAAACTTGAACAAAAATGGTCACTTTTCATAGTCGATCGTGACCTCAATATCAATTTGTTATATTTGTGATAATGAGGCATTTATTCCATGATAATGATAATGTAAGCCAAGTTACGACGAAACAAAATTTGTAATGGATTTCAAGTTCAAGGTTTCGGGATTATGACGTAATTTTAAATCATGAACAGCTGTTTCGTACTATTTGGCATGGTCTCGGCTTTGTGTCAGGTAGGACAACGAACTTGAATTGTCCATTCTGAATCTTGCAATAAATATTCGTATTCTTTGATTCGCCCCATATGGTCTCCTACTTAAAACTATATTTTTCCTTTTCAGAAAAGCCATTTTCATGTCCCAACTGCAGACGGTCTTACAAAAGAAAATATGACCTAAGTAGACACTTGAGATATGAATGTGGAAAAGAACCATCATTCAAATGTGATTACTGTGATAAGGCTTTCAAACAAAAATCCAACTGTAAGCAGCATATATTGATGTCTCACATTTTAAAACAAAAATGGAAATGATTTGATGTTATAAAGCTGTAATATATTTTTATAATCAAACATTGCTGCTTGGTGCTGTTCGTATGGCCGGTACGTCTGATCATTTGTGCACTGAGAATGAGGCTTTCCTCATTTGTAACGACCTTAGCTCAAAACTTAAATATCAAGAAAAATTCTTGACCGCAGTCATTGTAAACTAACTGGAAAATCTATGTCTTCTTTAGTGTGCTTGCTGTAGCCTTCAAATGTGTCGACTGCCACAGATTTTACAAACGGAAGTATGACACATTAGATACGAATTTGGTAAAAAACCCATTTTATTGTAACTATTGTGATATGGCATTGTATCTAAAGCAGTGGTTCCAAAACTTTTTTCTTACATACCACTTCGAAAAATTTACTGTTTTCAGTGGACTCCATTCCCCCATTAAATTCCTAACGATGAACATTTTCACAGTGGTAAAAGTAAAAACAAAAATATTTTCTTACATCCTATTTATTAGAATAACACGATTACACATTTTATAGGAATAAAATTAAAACTTAACAACCTGCAACTTAACTTCTTTCGCAATACAAATCAACAGTGCACAAAATAGACCAATAAATCAGAATGTTAATGAAAGAGATTTGCTATTTAAACTTATTTCCGAAAGTAATGAAATAACACGGACCAGGTTTTTTCGTGCCGGTTGTTCAGTCCTATTCAGATTCAGTGATTTCCCAGGTCCATACACTGAAAGCACTTCTGCTAATACATTCTATGTCATTGATAGTCAAAGATGGCTACAGGCGATAAGCAAGTGAAGCCGCTACTTTAGGGAGCAGTGCAAATAATGAAAGTGCGATTTTTATTTAATATGGGGATGTTGATAGAGGTATCATGGTTTTTTCTTTTTTAGTAAAAAGGTTCGAATGCACGACATGCGACAGAAGCTATGCAAGAAAAGAATCCCTTACTAGGCATCTGAAATACGAATGTGGCAAAAAGGCCTCTTTTCAATGTGAATACTGTAATAGAATGTTTCACCTTAAGTCTAACTGTCAGCAACATATTCGCCTACGACACCTGCGAAAGCCGATATGAGAAAACTGATGTTTTGTGAGATAAGACTGTTATAATATGTATATTTTTTACATTAAATCTTCCAGCAAAAAAAGATATTTCGAGTTTCTTAGAATGTTTTCTTCGCAACGCGTTTTTTTTCGTAAATGCGTTGTTGAATTCCCCTCAATATGAATTCCGGTGCAAATTTTTTCTAAACAAATTATAAATACATCTTTGTTTCACTACTTTTTTAGGGTGTACTTCTCACTCCATTGGCGATTAAGATTATAGTGTCGAAAAATTAAAAGAATGAGATATGTCTTTTGGATGTTATTTCATGAAAAACCATGTCACTCATTTCTGCCGGTGTGTCAGTCCGCAAAATATTGACTCGTCTACTACCGCGAGCTGTGTAGGTTTTGAAAATCGATCCAGTGGCAGCGAAGCTAGGGGTAAAAAACGAAAAACAGCAACCAGCTACCCAGGAATACGCGATATCCTTTACCAGCGGCGGGTCCGATCCAATTTCAACAACGCGGACTCTACCCCAGGCCGCTGCGTCTTCGAGATCATCGATTTTTGATCCTTTAGTGTCATATTGTCACTCCTACAATAGTAGGAAGCCTGTATGGCCTCCTTGATTTTCATTGTCTTTTCTCTCCTTCACTATGATCTTGAGGTTGCAGCCACAACGCAAAAAAGTTCCTTCTTTCATCTTGGCATCTTGCAAAATCAGTCCTGCATAATTTTGAAGCCTCCCTCCTTCACAATTTAGCCATTCATTTTTTCAACAAAATTTTTCATTTCACAATCAATATTTTATTACCTGTTCGTTGTTGATGCTGTTCAATATAATGGTTCTTCTCCGTTTTTTTTTGGATTGTGCGTCTCGAAAGATTTCAACGCTGTGAGTAGTTTTTCAACGGCATTGTATTGGATTTAAAGTGTCATGCAATTATCTCTTTAGCCCTGATGAAGATAATAAACATTTTCGAAAGAACAAACGTTTTCTCTGCCCCGAATTTATTTGGGTTGTGACTCACCTCAAGATCCTTGTACTAGTATTTCTCTGTCCAATTATATACAATTAACAATGTATTTGTTTCAGTTAAACCATATCCATGTCCGAACTGCCCAAGGTCATATACAAGGAAATCTCTACTAGGTAGACACACAAGATATGAATGTGGGAAGGAAAAATCATTTCATTGCGAATATTGTCCAAAGACATTTCACCTCAAGTCTAACTGTAAAAAACATATGTATATATGCCAGTACAAAAAGTGAATGCTGGTTTGTATACTTACGAAGAAATTGTTGGGAAAACTAAAAATTCAAAATTATTCTGCAATGTGTTCTTGTAAATAAATTTCAAGTCTCTCTCTTGTCAAAATGGTTTCATCCTGTCACAAATACAATGCGCAAATTTATTTGTCACTGCTTATACTAGATGTAGTGTGTTTTTTTTGTATTTGAGGATCATAACGGAAGCAGCTAAAGCGATGATGTGGTGCTTTGAAATATTGCTGTTGCTGTACGTTTGTACCACGGTTCGTATCGGTAAAAATTATATATCAGTCGATCTCGAAACGTCGAGTATGACACCTTTTGTCAGCGGGTCTGTTATTAACACATTGACTGCCAACTACGAGATATCTCGTAGGTTGTTTACATGTGCAGGACACTAACGACGAGTTATCTCGTAGCTTCTTTATGACATACATAAATAATCAATTGGATTCTGGAAATGAAATTTTTGAAAATACCATGGCAGTTAACGTGTTCAAGATCCTGCATGGAAAATGGCCTTTTGATAACCATTTGAACCAAAGGAAGTTGGTACACATCTGGAACTACCTCTTGACGATATTACGTATCTGAATTAATGAAATAATAGAATATTAGTATAAAGCGTGATGGCCATGATATTGGGAATAGTACCTAATAACATAATTAATATATGGCGATCTTTGACATTCGTATATTGAAACTTTAAAGAATAGTTAATTAAAAAGCTAATACTAGATTCATTCAGTGTAATGTGGCCTATGAATATATCGTTTCTATAAATGTGCACAAATTAAAAAAAAAATTATGAATCTACAATGAAGACTTCCTTTGTTTCAGATAAATCATATCCATATCCGAACTGTCCAAGGTCATATATAAGAAAATCTCTCCTAGTTACACACACAACTTATGAGTGTGGGAAACAAAAGTCATTTCAATGTGATTATTGTCCACAAGACATTTCACCTGAAGTTTAATTTTAAACAACGTATGTATTTCTGCCTATACAGAAGATGAATGCTGGTGTTGTTACTTATACAAGAACTTGAGTTTTTTTTTTTTTTATACTCCAACTACCACGAAGGCCTAAGGCCTAAGCACCTATTGGGTGCCGTGGGGCTATGGGGGATACATGGGAAAGGGGGACGCCACACGGACTCTGGCGAGGGAACACGTGTGCATGCAACATGCACACATTCTGGCTCCGCCTACGAGAACCGCCGGGTGGTACCTCCGCGTTCGACAGTCAGAGACCATCTACCACCTACGATTGAGTATAAATCTTCGATTATACCTGTTTTGAACTGTGTTCTTGTGAATAGATCTCATACGAGACCCTTCTGTTTTTTCTGTGAATAATTTTGGAATATAGCATTAGTAATCCTAGTTGAATCTAAAGGTGGGTCCAGATATGTTCCTTTATCCGTACCGTGCCCCCGACTCATATCACCGTCGCGATCCAAGAACTCTGGACGCATAAATAATAACCAGTATCTTCGTAACGTCGCTGCAATCACCACGTATGCATTTCTGGGAGAAGTGTCGTCCGACTATGTCGTCGCATGCAGAAGTCTATGAGAATTTCGCGATTTCTTGCGCATGATTCATTGTTATTCGTAATATTATAACAACAAAAATAAAAAAACAAAGGAGGCGTCGTTGGTGGGCATTAGAAATGTATAATAATAGAGAAACATGTGGCGGACTTGATAAGAGAGTTAAAATTTCAAAGCATAAGTGGAAAATACAAAAACTTCACTTGCATGTCACCAAGCGACTTCGAATTCTTGATTAATTTAATTGGTCCAAAAATAAAAAAAGCAGATACCACATACAGGCGAGCGATTTCGGTACAAGAAAGATTGAGCATAACTTTGCGATATTGATTTTGAACAATCCAGGAGATCAACGAAAGTTATCCTTAATTTTGCAAAATTCCATCTGAACCAGGTACATAAATAAAAATGAATAAAATACATGTCATGCTGCTTGTACCTGTATTAAAAAATTTTTATAAACATACTTAAAAAATTATTTTCGCACTGTATAAAGTTTTTCTAGGTTTTTTGGGTCATTCTCAACAAAACAGGTCCTAAGGCGCCAGGGTACCCGGGTTTTTCGTCAAGTATTACCTGGGTGCGAAAACTCAGATACCTGGATATACCCGATACCGGTGGGTCCGAAAAGCCTATTCGCCAGGGGTTTATAGTTGTGAATCGTTGGGGCTGCAACCGTACGTATGCTTATGCATGGCGTTGGATTGGGTGATTGTATATAGTTTTTCAAGGCGTTAAAACAAATTAAATCTTAGATTCTTACAAACCATTTAAGTTGTCACCAAGAGAACAAACACTATTGACAGATTCGAGAGGAGGAGACTAATAGAAATTCGATTTTTTCTTTTTTAATATTAATCGACGACGACATCATTCTCTCTTTGAGACCAGTGAATTAGAAGTTAAAATTATGAATTGCTTATATTTTCCATTATAGATAGATAGATAGATACATTTATTGTCTTGTAGATCAAAAAAAAATGACATAAGACTCGTCCTAAGAGGGAGGTACATAGTACA